AGTATGTAGTAACAAATTGACCCTCTAGGTGGCAGTGCCACTTTTGATGGGAGATGAGCATAGACTGTAGACAAATAAGAAAAAGGTAACGGTTCGCTATGAGAGAACATGTCGCCGGTGAGACGCAAGTCGAGGAAGAACGGAATAAGGTAGAAACAATTTTTTTTCCTGATGAAAGAAGAGAGTCCACCCTTTCTTTTGGTGTGTTCGGTGTTTACATAGTCATAGCACAAACTATTCTGTGGCTCTTGAAAAATCAGTCAAAATGCTCAAAAAAACTCTGGCAGTATGGGACTCTCTGTTCTGAAAATGGCTGGCAGTCAATGAGTTAATGGACCCGGTGAGTGAAATGGTTTGCAGTGATGTGATCTGTGTGTGACATGAGCCCCTGACTGCTCACTAAGCAGGCGTTCGTCCTAGTCCTAGTCCTAACGGCGTTAGTCCTAGTCCTAGTCCTAACGGCGTTAGTCCTAGAGCTGAGGCCTGAGCGAGCACAGAGGCTGCGTACTGACCTCGGACAGAACAGTGGTATCATAGGAGGGCTGGTACTTCTCCTTCTCTTGAGCGGTGCGCTTCTCCATCTTCTCCCTGTCAGTCTTTTGTTTACGGTCCGCCCCCTTTGGCTGAAGGGGAAGAAAACAAGGATGAGCCACAGAGGGGACGGAGGCTGAGGGCCGGCGGGCGGGAGGGCGCCTGCCTTGAAGACTTTGATTTGGCAGGAGGCGGAGTGCAGGTGCTCGGCGTAGTCCCCCCCGTCCCCCGGGGCGAAGGTGTCGATCTGGATCCGGAAGGGGACGCCCTTCTCCCCGCCGTGCTTCCTGGGGGTGAACTCTGTGCTGATGCAGTGCACCTGCAGACGGAAACCGGACAGGAAGTGGAGCCCGATTCAATTAAATTAAATTAAATTAGATTCATATGGCGCCAAATCACAACAACAGTCATCTCACAGAACATTTCATAAAGAGCAGGTCAGAGCAATAATTCCTAACAAAAGCAGCACCAGGCGAGACAGGTAAGGGAGAACTTCCTTTTAAGAGGCAGAAACCTTGAGCAGAACCAAGAAGGATGAGGGGGGCGAGAGAGAGAGAGAGGGAAAAAGAGAGAGAGATAGCAGGCAAGAGAAAGTGAGAGCAAAGGCGAGAGAGAGCGGACAAAAGAGAGAGAGAGATGGGAAGAGAAAGAGAGGGCAAGAGAGAGAGAGGGAAAGAAAAAGAGAGGGCAAAAAAGAGAGAGAGGGGGAAAAAGAGAGAGAGATAGCAGGCAAGAGAAAGCTAGAGCAAAAGTGAGAGTAAAAGCGAGAAAGAGCGGACAAGAGAGAGAGAGGGGAAGAAAAAGAGGGCAAAAAAGAGAGAGAGGAGGGTAAGAGAAATAGAGGGCAAGAGAAAGAGAGGGGAAGAAAAAGAGAGGGCAAAAAAGAAAGAAAGAGGAGGGTAAGAGAAAGAGAGGGCAAGAGAGAGAGAGGGGAAGAAAAAGAGAGGGCAAAAAAGAAAGAGAGAGGAGGGCAAGAGAGAGAGAGGGCAAAAAAAGAGAAAGAGAGGAGGGTAAGAGAAAGAGGGCAAGAGAAAGAGAGGGTAAGAGATCCAGGATCGCCTGCGGGAGGCTCTCAGGTGTTTGTGGCGTTTCGTTACCTGCACGAACGCGGACGCCCTCTTGTTCAGGTCCCACAGGAACTCTGCGGCGTTCAGCTGGGACGCGTGCGTCTTCGGCTCCACGATCCCCACCGACATCGGGATGTCTGACCGACAAAAACAGGCTCAGCCGGGGGCCCCGGGGCCGTTTGGGCTCCCCCCGTTCAGCCGGCTCTTTTTTTTTTTTAATAATGTTTTTATCCATGTGACAAGGTCAAGTACAAACAATGAAAATAATGAAAATAAGGATTTTTTTTTTCATTTTTACAAAAACATCAACCCCTCATTCCCTCCCTTCCCCAGCCCTCCCCAATCCTACAAGATTATGCTACAAATCAGTAATAACCCATATCCTTCCTTCTTACCGTACAAGAACACGTGAATAAAAAAAATAAAAAATAAAAAAGTATATAGACAATTCAAAAAGAGAGAGCAGCAAGTACAACACAAATAAATAAACTAAAATGTTTACCGATGTCGAGCAGGCGGTCTCCGGGCCGGTTCCACTTCCATCCCTCCAGCTGCTGGTGCTCCGTGTACTGCAGCCGCCGGTCGTGGAAAACCACGCGCACAATGCTCTGCGCACACAAACACACATCAGGACACACATCAGGACACACATCAGGACAGGCCACGGAGGGGGGGGGGCAACAGTCGGACGCCCTCTCACCTTCACCATCTTGTTAGTGAGCTCTGCCAGCTCCCCTGCTCTCCTGTTGTCCAACAGACGCACCTCGTAAGACTGGCCTTCGTGAGACAGAAGCACAGAAATGAGGGAAAATAGACCCCGCAAAGCTCAGATAACGGTGTGATGCCTCTTCTCTGATATAATCTGGATAAGACTGGAAAAAGCTAATTTTAAATCAACGATCAGTTACGGAAAAGATTGATTTTTTGCTAATTTTCTCCTCAGGGTCTACTTTTTTTTGGTATTATGATGTATCACAAAGCAAAATGCAACAATCCAGCTAATTTTATCCAAACCTGCTACTGAGGTTTTAAAATAAAAAAGAGAAAAAACTTCCACCCAGCTGTTCCTATGTGTCTCATTACTCTTCACTGCAGGGTAAAAAGTAATCTTGTCCGATCTTTTGTTTACATTACCAACAATTATCAACCAAGATTTGAATGAAAATAGTTATATAGTTACACATCTTTTAAACTGTGATCTTTCAGTGTGTTCATGTTATATCCTGTTACCTGGGATTGGGTACACACTGTCTTTGTGCTTTAAATGTGTGTGAGATCATCCTCTGACATGGTTTAGTGCGGCTCTACAACCATATGTGTGTAAAAAGATTCAATATCCAAGTCGGCTGTGGGAAAAGCAGATGAACTGAAGACAGTTGGACCTCTTTTTTTGGTTCTTACGGACATTTCACCTCTTTTTAAAGATAATTGTTTAGTTATTTTGGGGGTGTTCCACGCTTTAAGCCTAAGCTGTATACAGACAGTCAAATAATCCATGTTTTTTTAAAATAAACTTAAAAATTAAGACTATTAATTGTGCCTCATCTATTAAAAATAGACGTTTTAATAAAGTCTGGGCTACAGGGTGTATGGTGACCCCACTAAGGGCACAAAAGAAGGAAGCAGGTGAAGGAAGCTCCTCTGAACTGCAGATTATTGGGACTGCGAGGAGTCAGTTAAAGAAAAAACAAAGACAGGGAAACAAAAACACCTGTCCGTCTGCTTCAGGAGTGTCTAACGAAACTTTTCTTTTAACTGAGCAACACCCTCAAAGACAAACTGGTCTCTCCAAAGGAAGCCAGTCCCACGCAGAGGCGCCTTTCTGACCCCAAACAGCCAAACGGAGGAGCCCGGTCTGCCCGTTTCTCAGAGAAACGAGGAGCTCTTACGAACGCCGGGCAGGCCGGGACATGACAGACAAGTCATCCACGGAAAAAAAGACTAAAAGAGAAAGTTGTCAGAGTCCAACGCCCCAGCGTGGGTGAGTTCCCATGGCAGGTCGCCGTGGGAAACCAGGAAGTATCGGCAGCAAACCGAACCTGTGGGCGATCTGATCCAGGAGAGACTCGGCTGGCTGAGCTGGTGTCTCCTGTTCGGCGATCCGATATTCGGATCGGATCGGCCGGCAGGAGAAAATGCAGATCCAGAGTCTCTATTCATTTTTAAATTTTTTTTTTAAGATCTGTGTTTTCCAGCGCACAGATTCAAAATAATCCATTAATGATGCTGAGTTAATGGACTATTTTCTATTCAGTTTTTTTTGTGTGTTTTGCCTTTTTAATACAGTTTACAATATTATTTGCACTTTTTACTGTTCACTGATGCCATTTCCGTTTGTTATTCATAATTTAGTCTATTTTGTGTTTATCCCTGAATAATATTTACTAACCATTGTGTTTTATTCAAACTCACCTAATTCAGCCGGCTAGTTATAAGAGTGAACCCCTGTTCAAAATGAATCTGACAACTAAGTCAGTCGGCTAAATGACTTTAAACTTTAATACATGCTCTGATAGGTCGGGATCGGATCGGAAGAGGAAAAATCTGGATCTGGACATCCCTGGTCCTAACCCCCTTCACCCCTGTCCCCGCTCTCTGTCCACTTCCTGTTTAGCAACTCTGAAACCCTTAAAAGGAAACAAAAAGACTCCAAACAGACAGATCAGTGCAGCGTACAGCACTTTGGGTCGGCTTGTGTTTGGAGATGGCCCAATAAAATAAAACTGAGTGGAGCTGAACACACACAGTGTGTGTTTCTGTTGTGTGAGCGGACCCAAAACGGCCCCTTAGAGTTCAGGAGGGACATAAATGTTGACTCCCACCTGCAGCACACAGTAATAATGAGTCTCCATCTGCTCAGACACAGGAGGAGCCCGACATGCCTCTGTTCTCCAGCACAGCTGCAGCTACAGCCGGCCTTCACAGAGGTGCCTCCTATCGGGTTTGTGGACTCTAACAGCTCTCTGATAAGCAGAGTCTGTCCAGAGCAGGTGCTGGTCTCCATTATTAAAGTGGGAATTTGGATAAAAATGGCAGAATAGACCACTAGTTAGACTACCCAAACATGTGCGTTTAAAGACAAATAGCAACGGCTCTAAACTGGATCAGGACCTGGTCTTCTGTGTTTCCTCCACACTAAAGCAGAGAAAAAGTCTCTTTTCTGAGGTGAAAGGCCTTCAATAACCGCCAGAAGAGTTCCAGCTGCCGTTTAGTGGAGAACTGCGAGTCGCTGTGAGCTGGACGACAGAGGCCCTCTGCAGACGTGTCACCTTGGTTTAGGTATGTGAGCGTCTCCTCATGCAGCTTTACGGCAGGCGAGGTGGCAGCGCACAGCACATACTGGAATGGGGGGTTTTTGGTCTCGGTTTCGGGGGGGAGGCTGGAGTCCTCCTGCTTAAAGATGGGCAGAGCCAGCACATCGCTGCGAGACAAAGAGAGAGAGGACAGATGTGACCGACAGCAGGAGAGTGAATCCATCAACAGTTGAGACACAAGAAAGGGACGTTTATAAGTGGACTTGAGTGTTCCTGCACCCCCCTACACCGTGTGGGCTCATCCAGAGCAAAGGGGGAAAGCAGCGTTTGTAGTAATTCACTCTGGCAAAGTGTGAAATTATTAATGGGTTGGCTTATTTTAGAATACGTGGCGACGGCTCTCCATTGATCAGATGGAGCTCTGATCACGTATGCATGAGCTGCTGTTGGACAAATGAGCAGAAACATCCAGGGATCGTCTTAGCTGCTGACATACATCATCTCTAAAACCCACCGGTCCTCAGCTCACCCTCACAAAGGCCGTATCAGTGTAAAAATAAGAATAAAAACAAAGTTTGGGGTATTACGTTAGCCGGAAACATCATTTCCTGAGTCTAAACTTTGACTTAGCTTGTTAGTATGAAGCCACAGAACCTTCTAGTAAACATTGTTGATGATGTCCGGGTTGTTTAACCCCTCGTGTGGGTTCATGTTGTGGGTTCATGTAGCAGTTGGTGCCCAGACGCTGCCAACCTGCGTACAGTATCCCTGTGGAGCACCCCCCCCCCCCCCAGCCCCTAATGTCTGATTCCTGAAATCTGAGGAGCGAGTCTGACTGTAGCTCACTGAGACATTCTGTTCCGACCACCTGCTGACCTCCGATACGCCCCCCGGCCGGCCCATCACCAGCTCCCTTCAGCGGGAGTCTGGTGTGGGTGAACCTGCCTGAACTCATAAGAGGCTCCGGCTGCGCCACCCTCAGATAAGCGCACGCCGAAGGGGCTGTTGATAAGACGCATGCCGTTCCTCCCCCCTCTCCAGAGAATAACCACCTCCCAGAAACCCATTACACTGTGCAAACTGACTCAAATCTATAGCTCAGCAAGTGGTTTACAATAACAACAACAACCTTTTAAATTAATACTTGTGTACTCAGTTAAGAGACAAAACAAACATATCTGTCCTAAAAGAGAAATGACCAACAAATAGTCCTGATTAATCATTGTTTTAAGTGATGTTACGACTCAGATCACATGTTTAAATCATGAGTGATCTGGAAATGGAACAATGCTAATTGATTTTTTCTAGTTCCCGTTTTTATTTTTAATTTGTGGCACCTAGAAGAGGAGAATGTGGATGTAATGGATGTGCTGTCAAAGAGACGCTTATTTCTTTTTTAACTTCACAGTATTAGGAATGTTGTTTGTTTCTGCAAAATAAAATAATTCATCTCACAATGAAAACTTGTGTCTTTTACATTTCAACACTCACAAAAAAAATGTTTGCTTGATGTCAACATCAAGAACAGGGAGTGTCCAAAAGGATATTTAAAATAAAGAACACAAAAGCTAAATAACTAGCATGAAACTATATGAACAAACATGCCAAAGGAAGAAAAACATTGTGGCTAAATACTATTAATCTCCACAGATGTCCCTTTATGGCAGTTAGCAGCAAGGAGTTGGTATAACTATATGCATTAAAAGGGGATCTCATTGTGATGAGATAGGCCCTGAAATTAACTCCTACATAAAATACATTACGTATTTTGGTCCCTACAAAAAGGCCCAAACCTGAGCTGTCCACCACTAGATAATAAAATGTGTTTTTTTTTCACACACCAAAGCTAATAGAAAATAAAAGTTATCAGTTTTCTTCAGAGTTCCTCGTCGAAACTAAGTTTATGCATCATTTAGGAGCACTAACGTCTCCCCTGTTTGGTGCAACTCTGGTAAATCTTTGCACAGATCGAGGCAACCTGCACCCTGCAACCTGCAGTGAAAACCTCACAAAGAAAGACCAGCACAGGGCGGAAAAGCAGCCGTGGAAAGAGCTGTGATGTTAACACTTGCAGGCAGAATGTTTGCTTTGATCTGTGGAGACCCGTGCAGTGGCTGGGCACGTCCGGGATAAGCCTAACCTCATGCTGTAGGCTCCAGCCCCCAGCTCCTGCCCGATGCCGGACAGGCTAGCATCGAAGTCGTGCACCAGCCCCGACTCGATGGTGGCATCGTCCATCTTCAGGACCCAGGCCATGGGCCCGAGCTCCTTGTCCTCGGCTTCCACTCGTAGGGCCGCCAGCTTGCCTCAGGTACGAGAGGACGGCTAGCGAGGAAGTGAGCTCTGCGGCTTCCGAGCGACAACCACAGGAGGAAAGTTACGCTGCTAGCCCGCTAGCCGCTCCTTCGCAAGCTGGGAAGGCGACCTGGTAGCTTCCTGCGGAGACTGAATTTATCGCCATATCTCTCCAAGGGTTTTTTTCCCAGATAACGCGACGCTCCACTTGTGGCAAATCGCCCGAGACCAACAATAAGTCGGAACTCCCTCCGCTAGCAATGAGTTGGTCGTGATAGAAGATGCGAGGTGGTAGTAAGCACGCTAACGGTGGCTAACGGCTAGCTTTTAACAGGCAGCTTGGCTAGCTAGCCCGACTTTTCCAATCGTATTTCTCTTCCAAGCAGTCTTACAGTTCGGATACAATTTAATCAGATAAAAGCAACGGGCTGTGGTATTGTATCGCTAAGAGTCCACGGACGACATCCCACGCAGCTTCCGCACAGCTGTTGCTACCTGACTACCGAGCTAACTAGCATCAACTTCACTTGGTTTGCACCAACTGCCCAGCGACCTAACGGCTGTCCGCTCGCGCTCCTTGTACCGTCCCGGTCCGGTCTCCTTTTCTCATCGCGGTGCTGGAATCACCGCCGAGGCCTCCCGTCTTTGGGCCGCAGTCCTTTAGTCATCCAAAGGGTAGCGTTTGACACAAAACCAAGCATCAACATGGCTTCCTCAGCATACCGACTGTCGCTCTGTGTAGCCTGCAGGTTTGCCCACCGCTAGCTTCGGGAATGATGCCAGGAAGCGGGGCAGCCAATCAGAGGCCGTGTTCTGTGCCCAGCGCAGAGAGCTTAACCAATCAGAGGCCGCCGAGCTTCCGTCACTGTGTCAAACTGTGTATTTACAGTTAAATTTACAAAGAAACTACTGTCAACAAACACGAGCACTGCAGACATTTTTACCACCCTTTCGCTGCCACGCACGGCGGCACAGATCAAACACACGGTGGCAAACCATGTGCATTCAACGGGGATGTTTGTTTAGGTGTGACAGGAACGTGTTTGAGGCTCTAAAACCAGACCAGCCTCGGTTTTAAAATGGGAGATTTCCGTACCGTGCGTGTCCGCCGCCGCCCTGCGTGTGCACGGGCCCGCTGAAGTTTTCGGTGTAGGACTGCCAGAACAACATAGCTGCTCCCAGCTGTGTCTTCACTCAGCTCTGTGTCCGGTACCGACCAGCTCCACGCGGAGCCCACGCGCAGGAGTCATGTCAGTGTTGACCCGGCTCGTGTTTACTCCCGTCTTCCCTTTCTCTGTCCGGTCGATAGTGGTCCGTGGGCCGCGAGGCTCTGGCAGGTCTGCGTGAGCAGAAAAAGTTTCTCTGAGCAGGGCACGCGCGCTATTTTGGACCGCGGGTTAGACCCGCCTCGTGACTTAATTAGAGCCCTTTCTGACTCCTCAGGAAACCCAGAGGAGACATTTCTGCTCGCGCTCTTTGGCATGTGAAGTAAACATACCTATAATTCAATAACGAGTACACACAAAAGGTCGTTATTTTTTTTATTTTTTTTTTGCACCATTAAGTCTCACACACGTGTGGACACGCGAGGCCACGTTCAAAACACTGCTGCTCGCGTGCGTTTCCCAGTGGGAACATGGAGGCTTTTTTCCACCAGCCACAGCACCTTGCGGCTGAGGATCCGTTTACCTAACACGGTAATAGTTGGGGGGACCGAGCTGAGAGGGGAGACGACAGCCCGGGGGCTCGGCGGGATGGGCCACTGATGGGCCGGTGTCCTCTTCAGCTGCTCCTAAATATACAGCTCAGCAACAGATGCATGCATGAAATTCAGCACCCCTTTCTCAAATAGCTAAATTACATAAGAGTTAGACGTTATCTTTGACACCAGCTCTTTGCAGCACGGTGGAGGGTCAGCCTCATCCTTATTGAAGAGTAAATCCAATGAGGGGGTCCTACTAATTTGATAGTTTAATCTAACTGGGGTCAGTGTGGGAAAATGTTATTTTTCTCCAGTTCAAGACACAACAGGGAAATAACCCAGAATATTTGCTGGTGAAAGTCTCCGTTCGACTGGCCTCTCCCCCCCATTCTTGTATTGACAAAAGTCAGGAGTCGCGCGGCTTATCATGATCTGTACAAGTTCTTTATTTTATTGTAAGCACAGCTTTGTAAATGCACGGAGAAAACACAACGATGAAAACTAGAATGTTACCAGAGGAAGGAAAGAAAGACAGTGAACAGGAAAAGGAGCAGAGTGAGGACGTGACATTTCTTTTCAGAACCGTAAACAATACATTTCTACAAATTTTTCTCAGTAGAGAAAAAAAAAAAAAGTGTGAGAGGGGGACTACTGCACGCCAGAGCAAAATAAAAACAAAGATGGGTGAAGGTGCGCGTGGGGAGACTCTCCTAAATGACACCGTTATTGGATATTCCTTTTTAATATCATATATAGATACATATCCACTATGTGATAAGAAGCCATTGTCCTGTCTTACTTCCTGTTGTAAAACAGCACCCATCTTCCTCCCGGCGTGCTGATCCAGGACCAGCCGGGAGGAACGGACGTCACCTCGAATTGGTCTGAAACTGGTGGACTTTTTTTCACATTAACTTAAAAAACCCAGTCCCTCCACTGTGGACTGCCAACAGGAGCCCAATGCCAGGGTATTTAGTCTCATGCATAGCCAGGCTCTTAACGCCTCCTAAGGTTTGGGTTCTGCCGGGGGGCTCGTACCTCTGAGCATTATCAGCACCTTTCTGCTCAGCGTGTCCGTGTGAAATAAAACTCCAGGTACTGGGACAAAGGAAAAAACAAACAAAGACGACCGCGGTAAAACTTCTCTGCATAAAACAAATCCAAACTAGGACACAATGTAAATATACATTCCTGTCTACCTGGCCCCGGTTGCTCAATCTTTAAGGAAATTAAATAAAAAACCGGCGCCTTTTCTTGGGCGCCGCCTTTGATCAATAATAACCCAGAAAAACGAGAACCATGCAAATGCTCCCCACTGACATCCAGAGACCTCCTCACACTCTGCTGGACAGGATGGACATTTCATATCTTCATCCTCTAGTGATTAGTGACAAACCTGGGTGGAGTGTAATTATGTTTAATGAAGATTTAAAGGTGGAGTCCGGCTGGAGGTCAGGCTGGACGCTCGGTAATGGGGAGAAAAACAGCGTTCCTCTCCTCTCTCCTCCCGTCCGGCAGCCACAGGGAGACTGAGTGTGCATGAGCCATGTCTGTTTGTGAGTCTGATCCGTGTTTGTTCCCCGGTCTGTGTGTTGTTATGAGCAGATGTTTGTGTGTGCGCGTGGGGGGGGGGTTCGGGTGGTCCTATAGGCCCTCGGACGAGGGCTCGCTGCCTGCGGAGCCGGACTGGGCGCGCTTGATGTAGAGGTTCAACAGCTTCAGCTGCACACAGAAACACAGAGGCAGCCGTTAGGGTTGTCATGATATTAACATGTTCAACTTGATACCGATACTCAGAAAATATTCGATACCACTGTCGATACCACAAGGATAAAAACAAAGACCCCAAAATTTTACTGAATTTCGACAGGTTAGTGTCTTTGGTTTCAAACTGACCTGTTACTGATGTTATCGTGTTATTATTAGCCATTAGCCGTAGATAGCAATTTATGGCTAACGTCACGTTAATGATCATAACAACGTAAATAAATAAATCAGAGAGAAGGAGCATTTATTTACAGATAAATGCTCTGTGTGGTGAGCTAGTTTAGAGTTAAACTTTGGTTTTTGAGGCTTAACGTATGGAAACCACACAAAACTGAGCTCTAACTGTGGAAATTCCTATCAGACAAATCTTAATTCGTCTTCCAGAGGAGCCATTTTCGCTAAATACTTGTGATGAAAGACAGACAGAGGTATTGTCAAATTATTACTGTCAAATCAGTTGAATCCAGAAAATAAAGAGTTTTATCTTTGTTTATCTTTCATTCTGGGGACTCAAATCAGTTAAATCCAGAAAAATATGAGTTTTATTTTTGTTTCTGGGCACAAAAGGGAAACCAGGGGACTAGAAATGCAAGGCTTCCCTGGAGGGGACCCTTAGTTTTTGGGGGGAGCCTTTGATTTGCTCGGCTCACCTTGCTGCTGGAGAGCTGGCTGAGGTGCGGTTTGAGCTCCTCTCCTATCACGGCGTAGATGGCCACCAGGCAGAACACGCAGGCTTTCCTCACGCTGCTCTCAGAGTTGTCGTAACCCTGTGGAACCAGAGAGGAGGCTGAGGCCTTCGCGCAGAACGAGAGAGCTCAGAAGCTCATAATGTCGTGGAAAAAAAGGTGAATTTGTCTAATTTTCTATCGCGTTAAAGTGAGAAAGGCCTCTGGTGTCTGGTGGCTACCTGTATGAGGCCGGGCACTATCTCGGGCAGCATGCTGGCCAGGCCCTCGCGGGGGACCCTCTCCACCACTTTGGTCTGCATCTTAATGGCCGCCAGGTTGATGGGGTAGTCGGCCGACTGGATGATGGGACACAGCACCTTGATGCACTGCTCCGGGCTGATGGAGAGCGCCAACATGGCCGCCGTCTCCTCCGCGGCCCGAACCACCTTCAGACAAACACAGATATCCGGGCATGAGCCATTTTATGGGTCAGGTTGGCAATTGTCAGGATAACAACTAGCCAGCTGAATTAGGGGAGTTTAAATAATACACAATGGTTGGTAAAGAGACACTGTCCTGTTTATTCAGGGATAAACACGAAATTGACAAAATTATAAATAACAAACAGAAATCAGTAAACAGTAAAAAGTGTAAATAATTTTTATCGGTGGCCGATCGGATCCAGAATCAGAAATACTTTAATAATTCCAGAGGGAAATTATTTTTGTAACCAACTCCAGAAATACAACAGCATATACATATACATGTCTATACATATATATGTATATATATACAAAATTCCACACAAAATATAAATAAATATATACATATGTAACTACAAGTATATATATAGGTCTAAAATAAGTGATAAGGATAATGCCAATAATTTAGTTAGATATGGGATCGGGACAAGCCTAGTTCAGACACATAACCGTTTCAGGAATACGGGTTTTCGTGGTTTGGGCCCATCTGGGGGGTGTGGGTGGGGTTACCTCTTTGTGGGGGTCTTTGTGGGCCTCCAGGGCCTTCATGATGGTGAGCTCTGCATAGTTCTTGAACCTCCAAGGCTGCTTGCTGAGAATTTCTCTCAGCACCCGCAAGGCCAGTGTCCTGATCACATGCTGGGGGAGTGAAAGAGATTTAGGATCAGAGGAAAAGCCCCCCCCCGTCCCTCCCTCCACCCAGTGGGCCTGCCCACCTCTCTGTCGCCCATGGTCTCCAGCAGCAGCAGCAGGATGGTCTTGAAGTGCTCGTCCCAGACCTGCAGGGTGTTGTCGCGGATCAGCTTCAGCAGCTCGCACAGCGCAGACTTCCTCTCCTCCACGCGCTCGTTGTGATTGGACAGTTCCTTCAGCAGCTCCGCCACCAGCTCCGACTGGTCCAGGCTGCTCTCTAAGACCGGAAACGGAGAGGAACAGCAGTTATTGGGGATTCGGGGGTTATTTATTTATGTTTTTTTCTGAGAAAAAGCAGTTTGGATTTGGGGAGATTGAAGGTGTTGCACTAAATGTAGCAAAACAAATTATCCCAAATGCCAACAGGCAGTAAAGGAAGATGCTATTTCATATTTTGTATATTTATTTTAAAGCCCTGAGCCAAGGTTTTGCTTAGGGATGTCCCGATCCGGCTTTTTGCCCTTCCGATCCGATACTGATCCTGGCCTATCAGAGCATCTATTAAAGTTTAAAGTTATTTATTCTACTTACTTAGTTGTCAGACTCATATTGAACAGGGATTTACTCTGATAAAAACTCAATGGTTAGGACACAGACCTGTGGGTTAGCAGATGCTAATGCTAATGCTCGTGTGGGGTTGAGCTTTAAAAAAGAAATGGATCTGGGACAAGCCTAGTTCTGCTCAAAGTTTCTGCCTCTTAAACAGAAGTTTTTCCTTCCCTGTGTCGCCTAGTGCTGCTCTTGGTGGGAGTTGTTGTTCTGACCTGCTCTGTGTGGAAAGCTGTGAGATAACTGCTGTTGTGATGTGGCGCTATAGAGATAAAACTGAGTTGTACTGGTTTCAGAGCGTCTCCGTACCGTCAGTGAGAAGCTCAGAGTCGTCCATGCTGGTGTCTTTGCGGCTGTGTTTGATTGGGGAGTCAGAAAAGTGCTCGCGGGCTCCCCGGGGGCTGGAGGAGAGCAGGGGGGTGTTCAGGAGAGACGTCTTGTTGTCCAGAGCCATTCGGCCGCCGTCCATCACCTCCGTCCCACTGCCGCCCTGCAGAAAGAAACACCAGAGCTTATACCATCTATCTATCTATCTATCTATCTATCTATCTATCTATCTATCTATC